ACCTCTCTCCCCACTGGTCTTTATAAGTGGAAGTGATCAGTATATTTGTTCTACCAGTTTTGGCTTTAAGTAACATTGTTTTCCTCATTCTGTTACATGTAGTAATGGCATCAAAAGTACTACAACTCAGAGAGGGTGACACAGTCCTTGGGTTACTAGAAACAGTTCTAGTTTCATCCATTAGCTTGGAGGAATTTTTAATAACGTCCCTTTACTTTGTACAAATGCTCTTGTTTGGATCAAAAATTGTATGATCACTCTAGTCAAAGACGAGTTGATGGGCTTTTAGGGAAATATCATTGACATGCCAACATCAAAGAAAAGGGGAGGCTGAGGCTATTCAGAGTAACTGGGACAAAAATATTAATTTTGAAAAAAAAAAAGTTTTAACTTCATTCATTTAAATACATTGGCCTGTGATGATCAGATCTATTTAGGCATTTACAGTGTCTGGAGCCAAGGACCTTACCAATATGTCTAGTTTTTGACAGTGAATAGAAAGGCTTATTTTTAGAAAACCACAACATGGAATGGAAACTATGGGAAGCGGAAGTACCCATGTAACCACGAGGTACCTAGAAAGGTAAACCAGAGAAGCTGCCAAGAAACCGGGAGCCACCCTTTGCCACTCCGCTCCTGCCATAGTATTCCCAACACTCCTTCCTGAGGGAAGGACCTCGCCCCAGAGGGAGAACAAGGGCTCGCTCGGTCTATTAAGGGCTGTTTAATGAGTGCCCTTTCTCTACTACGACTTCAGCGATTCTAGATTTCTTCCCCTGCAGGAACAATTTATTTGAGGGAATAAGATATGTATACAGGATGAAGTGTCACATAAATTGCTATTATGTTTGTGCCACAACACTGGGAAGAGGCTGGAGCGAAACTGCTTTAGGGGAGGGGGCACAGTGTGTTGAGGAAGAAGACACAGAGATGCCAAGAGATTAAGCTCGACTGTGAAGCCTGGGTGGGCTTTAAATTGGTAAGGAGGTAAAAGAAGGGGATTGAAGACATGGGAAAAATTTATCGGTACATTTCTAAGCACTGGAAATCGCAAAATACCTGGGATCCTGATAGGATCAGTCTGGACAGAGGATTCCTCTAGAAGCTGGGTGCAGAACACACCAGAGAAGTGAGTACACCGGCAGGAGACTGGGGAGGAGCTGGTTATATCCCACTCAGATACTGGATCGTAAGAATCTGGGCCCAGGACAACAGCAAGGAGAATGCACGAGACAGTGTGACGGCAAGAAAAGGACAGCCTGGATGGGCAGGCAGAGGAAGAACACTCACAGATACGAGGTTTCAGATGGGCTGCACCTGAGAACATATGGAGCCTACTGCAGAGGAAAGGAAGGAGACAAATGAGACTTTTTTTGATGGTGGCAGTGAAGATCAAGAGGGAGGAATATGACAATGAGTTGAGATGATCCCAGGACCTGCAGAAGACATCATCTACCAGAAGAGGGCCATGCTGACAAGACACATCACTCATGTCACAGAATGTCACTCATGCCAACTTGGTTGGCAAAGTCTGAATTTCCCACAGCACCAAAGCTATAGGGAGTTCATCCACAGGTTTCCCCAGGCTGGACAGAAGTGTGGCAGGGGCTAGCTCAGGAGCAGCAGAGTTAGTTACTGTCAACCAGAGTCAGCTCGGAATGCAGACGTATCAGAGATGCCGGCAGCAGATGCAGAGGCTGGGAGGCCAGTGGGGATGATGGCATTTCAGCCAGTGTCAGCATGGACAGAGGTCCACTGATAACCACATTCCTTTTTTTTCATTGATACTGGGCACAATGAGACTATCACCATAACCCCAAAGCTTAGAGGCAACCCAGGACAGACGGGGGTGCCTGAACTAATCAAGAAAAGCCTGATTTATCCAAGTTCACCATGAACGAAGTTACATTTATGCCACTAGGTAGAATTGAACTCAAAAGAAACTTAAACTTTATTCTTTTGCAGACATGAGTGTGTGGACTAAGATTACACTTGCTACACAGACAACTGTGATGCAGCATGACAAAGGCAGGTGGACCCGTGGGTGCTGTATGAGGTCAAGTGAGTGGTCTCCTAGCAGTCTGGGGAGGTCAGGGTGAGCGAGGGGTCAGGTCCGAGCAGAATATGGGAGGATAAAGGACAGCAGCGGTACCAAGGTGAAGGGAACCACAAATAAATTCTCAATGGCAAGAGTGCAGGTAGCGAACAAAAGGAGGCTGCCAAGTTAAATGCAACGGGTTGCTTAGGCCAAGACAAAGACCACAAGCCCTTTCACATACCATGCACAAAGATTCCTGTGGGACTGGAGAAGGGAAATGGCATGACTATGTTTTCATTTTAGAGCCACCATTCTGAGTAAGTGTAAAGAAAGGCCTGGAGAGTGGCTAATTCTGGGAGACCACACCTGCAGGCTGGGTTTCTCATTCTCGCCCCGTCTTATCTTTACTGCTAATGTCACATTGATCCTCATCACCCCAAAGTCTGCACTGTGTGAGAAAAAAGGAAGGAATTTCTTTCCCGATTTTATAAATTGGCATTTAGCTAAGAGTCCTGAAATGGGAAGTGAACGGTACAGTTTAATATCAAAATTAGTGGGGTTTGGGGGGAGGGCGTGGGTATATACATACATAATGAGTGAGATGTGCACCATCTGGGGGATGGTCATGCTGGAGACTCAGACTTGTGGGGGGAGAGGGGGAAATGGGCATTTATTGAAACCTTAAAATCTGTACCCCCATAATATGCCAAAATAAAAAAAAAAAATTAGTGGGGTTTTAATAGCCCAAGTCTTGACATTAGAAACCAGGACAAACTGATGTAATACGTAGCACATGGAAACGTCTTCCACACCCAGATGTATACACATAATATGCCTTAATGTTACCAAGAGCTTTAAAAGAAACTGAGAAATGTGTATATTTTTACTTGGACAACGTTTACTTAGAAATGATAACTCGCACTGCCATGCACAGCCAGTTCTCTGACAGCGGTGGGGCGGGTTCCCCGGGCGGCCCAGATCTGCAGGGCAGCTTTGTGAGTTGTTCCTGAACGCTCTCCCTATTGTTTCTTCAGCCCCATCAATGCCGATTGAATGTAGGCCATTTAATGCTTTATAATCAATCCCTTTCGGTTCCAAGAGTGGACTTTGCTTTCCATACAATGACCAAAACAAGTACTTTTAAAAAAAACCCTTCTTCATATGAGTACCTTAAAAAAACTCACCAGGACCAACTATGCAGTGGTTAAGATCAAATACTCTGAAGGCAGACTGCATGGGTTTGGAATCCAGCTGGGCATTCCATTTACCAGCTACCTGACCTTACACAAGTTACTTGTCCTTTATGTTCTTTAGTTTCTTTATTAGCAAAATAATGATGAAGGTGGTAAGAATACCTACCTCATAGGGTTGCATGACAATTAAATAATATATGCAAAGTGTTTATAACAGTGCCTGACACATACTAATTGCTCAATAAATGTTTGATTTTATAATATTAAAATACACTTGACCCTCGAACAACCTAAGGGTTAGGGGCACTGACTGCCCCTCCATGTAGGCGAAAATATGCATATAACATTTGACTTCCCCCAAACCTAACTATTTTATTAATAGCCTACTGTTCACCAGAAGCCTTGCTGATAATATAGTCAATTAACACATATTCTGTATGTTATTATGTATTAGATACTATATTCTTACATTGAAGCTAGAGAAAAGAAAATGTTAAGAAATCGTAAGGAAGAAAAAAGGTATTTAGTATTCATTAAGTGGAAATGGGTCATCATGAAGGCCTTCATCCTCCTCATCTTCATGTTTTGAGTAGGCGGAGGAGGAGGAGGAGGGATTGGTCTTGCTGTCTCAGGGGCCGGGTGGGGGAATAAATGTGCATATAACTGGATCCCCACAATTCAGACCTTTTGTGTTGTTCAAGTCAACTGTAATTAGTTTTACACTATAACCATAAAATCAACTAAAAATTTTTTGAGAATGTCTCAGAAATTCTCAAGGATGAATATACTCAAACTAGTATAGAATCCTTCTGGCTAAAAGCAAAAGCAAAATAAAACTGCTATCACAAAATAAATTTGAACTTGGTTGTTTTGCATTCAGAGAATGGCTTTATTTAAGGAGAGCATATGAAGTTTGCACTTTGCAACTCTGTTTTCCGATATGAGTGGAGTAGGCTTGGTTTTTACCTATTTAAAGTGGGCTAGTCACACTTGAAAAAATAGTTGATTAACATTTTGATTATTTTGCCATATTTAAACCGGAATATGTTAATGAAAAGTATAAAGGACCAGATGTCCCTTAACAGAACAATCCAATGTTATTTATTCAAAAGGAAAGTCATCCCAAGGAAGGAAAGCTAGTGTTCTTTATTAACCCTTTGCACTCGGATGTTGAGTGTGACTCGACACGGTTAGCATCCGTAGCAGCTCACATCATGAAAAATTATAGAGATTAAAATTACTTTTTGAATGTATCGATAATCTGAAATATTAAAAAATCAAAATAAATAAGTTTGTATGAAAAGAAACTCCAGTATTTATTATTCTGGGGTATTTAAAAAATTAAATCCTGAGTAGACTAAAGGAATCGAGAAAAAAGTGACTACAAAGGGTTAACGGTAAAATCTACATTGTTCCAGTATGTTGGAGTTATATCTGAAATGGTAAATGAACATATTTTATTATTTTCCTCTTAATTCAGTTATTTAAAAATGAAGAATGCTTAATTATCATCTTCTTTTCTGTACCTAGGATTTTCTTTGAGTCCCCCAAATGGGACTTAGTAATTAGCATAATTTACCCGTGAAACAAAATGACTTGATTGAAATTAGTAAATCCTATGGATGGTTTTATAATTGAACTTTTCTGGAAATGATCTTGCTCAAATCATAAGAAGGGACTGATATAAATTTAATAAGCAGAATATTTAAGTTGGTAACACTGAAAAAAAAAACAACTAGGCTTACTTGTAAGGGTTTTTAGTGAGGGAAGGGGTGGTTCTCTGGTAAAAACTAAACCAAAAACTGAAAACTAGCAGTGTAGCAAAAAACACTTATCTTGGAATAAGGAAATACTGAGAAGGCAGAGGGGTACGTTCAATAACAAAGAATCTTCCAAATCTTCTAAATATTTATGATTAACAGCAACATCTGCTGTTTGCTAGAGAATATTCTTAAGCCCATTGTGAAGAGATTTTGTGTGTATTTCCTCTGAGCTTGGCCCAGATATTTCTTAAAGGGATCGCGAGCCCTGCTCTGCAGTTAGGTAGTCACTCACCTCTGTGACCCCAACCACATCTCTACATTTTGGTTTCCTCATCTGTAAACCAAGGGATGTAAGATCTGCTTCCTGGGATGTTGCTCATGGGAACGGCTGGGCATATTTGGGAGTTGGAATGTGCTTGACACACATCAGCATCCCATCCTCCCCCAAAAAAGACAGAAGCAGAAAGCTGTACTTATTTATGGGACTAACAGAGCAGGGACAATGAGGATGTGTTTTTCACACTTTTACACCTATTAGAGGATGGCCATAGATCCCAAGACAGATGAAGCCAATAACTATTAGACACAGTCACAAGTTTTCTCCCTCTATGATACGCTCTGTTGTATGGGGGCAAATGAGGCTCCAAGGAAGGCTAAAGGAAACATCATTATGCCTAACTTTGGCATCAGGCAGTCCCATTTCTCCCAAGAATCTCTCTCTGATTCATAGGGTCACTCATTTCCTTCCTACTATCAAAACCTACCACAATCTCCCAGACTCTAAGGTGCTGAAACTCTCTTCCCTTCTAAGAGCACCAGAATTCCTGACTGCAATTGTTCAACCTAGTTAAAGTGGGTCTTTCACGATGAGAAGAGCTAACATTTATTCAGTCAACAAATGCTGAGTATCTGCCAGGGCCAGACACCCTACTAGTCATCAGGGCACACAGAACATGTGACTAGCAAACATAAAGGTGCAGGAAAACAGCCTGTTAATGTTATTCCCAGATGTTACCGAATGAGTGACAATTTGCACAGTGTTTCATTAAGTGCCTATTAAGAAGATAACCACAGTTGATGACATATAAAAACAAGTCAAATCCTGAATGCAAGAATGCGTGCCAGCAGAGCATATGGAAACAAGGTCCGAGCTGTGGGTAGGAGCTTGCTGGGCAACTGCAGTTGGCGATGTTCTTAAGCAGCTGGGATAATTCTTAGCAGTCTACTTTGTTGTTGAATGGTTCTACTACGGTCTGAAAAATGCCTTTTTAACTCTAGACTTATGTTTCCATTTACTATATAAAGAATGAACCAAAGAAATAAATGACAAAATATTGACTATGGACCCAGATTATTTCAAGGCATGGGGAGAGCCCCAACTTCATTACCAACTGCAAAGAGAAACCTCTAGTAGACAGACATAGATGAGGAAACTGTTTTTCAGCATCATGTAAACATGAACAAATCTCTTAACAGCAGTGGTGTCAAACACTTCTGTTGTTGCAAAAATAGTCTCAGAAAGAGCGGTGAGAAAGAATCTGACAAGCAGAAATGAGCTATTTTTTCATCTCCAAAATTGCACTTCCTGGTCCACGGTTCTTGGCACTGCAGATGTTGCAGAACTGTGCAGCAGAATTCTAAAAATGCAATTAAAAATCACAGAATTAAAAAACCGATTTTTTTCTCCTCTTACATTCAGGATTTAAAAAACGATCTTTTTCTCGTCTCACATTCAAAATTATTATGGTAGCATTAGTTGCGGGGTGGTGTGGAGAGGAAGTGACGAAATGTCATTCCCTTTTCTGGAGATTATCTCTGGTTCACACAGGATTCAGTCTAGACCAGCTAATATTCTGTGACTCCAGCTAGGGACACCCCACAGCAGAACAAGTCTAAGGTGACCTCGAGGAAAATGACTTGACACTGAACAACAACAGCATCACGGCACACAAATCAGGCCCAGGGAGTTGCATAAGACACACGACAGTTCTCTACTGTTCTGTACACCTCTACAGCAACAGTGTCATCAATTTGATCTGAGTGAATTTACTCAAATGGGTACACTAAACATTTTACATTTGAAAAAGTAGAAAAAATTTTTCTTATGTGATATAAAACTATACTATAATTTAAAAAACACCATAGAGCCATAAAGTTGATGAGTTATGGATCTGAGCACATTCCTCTGATCACATTAATTTCTCTCCAGTTGACAGATGCCAAGCTGGCAACTCACCATGCTAGGCATGGGCAGGCACTCCTTGTGGAACATGTGCCGGCAATGGAAGACCACCACGCTGAAGGGCTTAGCTGCATCTGGGAGAGGAGGGAGGAAGAAAGAAGAACTCAATGCAAAAAGCAGACCAGGATCTTTCAAAATCAATCTTGACCGAAAGCCCAGCTGTAGTTCAATTTTCCTGCAATAGGCTGCCTTTGGAGAATGGTTATTTACAAAAGCATTCCTGAGGGGTGGTGGGAACAAAGGCAAAGCAGGTACTATAATCATGTTGCTATGTGATTCACAGGTTACCTGCTTGGCTTCTGTGTCAGTTGCCAGGACTACAAACGGAGGACAATTGCAGCAACTTTTATTTTAAAAACTAGAACCAGTGTGTGTATGTGTCTGTGCATCCCCCACTACCCCCCATATAATCATTACACACCACATACTTCAGTCAAGTTTTGGCTTTATAAAAATGCATTCCCAGTTCACCTGCCACCTTTGCCAAGACCACTCACTGACTTTGGAGGTAGACCTGGGTTAAAATCCCAGGCTGTGACCTTGCATTTTACTGTACTCCTGCTTGGGCATGTCCCCTCATCTGTTGCTGCTCTGGTAAGATTTAGTGTCCTTAGCAGATCAGATTAGGAATTTAATCTAATTGTACAGAGGGAGTATATGTGGTCTCTTTCTGTTGAAACACTGCCTAAAACACTAAGAAAGCTTACTTCTTTTCTTGAGCCCACAGCAGTTTTTAATAGAAGCACCAAACCTATTTCCTATAGAAAAGAACCTAAGTGGAATGACTTCTCATGCTATTGTCCTATTAAATAATGCTGAGTAAATGTGAAGTCAACTAGATCTTTTAGTACCTCTCTATTCTGTACTTATATTAAAAAAGCACTTTGTAGCATACTAACAACCATGTTTTTTAATTTGTGTTCAAATTATGTAAATTTTCTCTTCTCATATCATAATGAACCTTAAGTAAGGTACTTTTCATTATAGAGGAAAACCAAGAACTATAAATAAACAAATGCTTATGTCTTTTAAAGAGACACCGTTCCAGTAAGATAGATGGTAGGTATTATGTTTCCACTGAAAGGGGCGATGGCTTGGGCACCTAGAACCATACAACAGAGAAAAAGATCGAAGAAAAGGAAATGCTATCCATAATTTTTTTCTTAGATACACACATGGTTCTTCTATCTTGGAATCTAAATATGCTGATGATTAGTTTTCATTTCGTTTTACCCTAGAACAGTGGTTTTCAAAGAATGGCCCCTAAACCAGTAGCATCAACATCACCTGGGCACTTGTTAGAAATGCACATTCTCAGGCCCTGTCTCAGAACAGTAATCAACGAATTTCAAAATTTTCATTCCACCCCTCATTAAAATACATATTTGGGAAATTTTTTGTCCCTCTTAACCTTCTTACCTGATGGAAGAATGGGGGAAAGGCACGATTCACAGATATTCTCCTCTGTAAGAAAACACACACAACAGTTCGGATCATGCCCTGTTTCTGTCTGCTCTGCTGTTTGTGAAGGCAGGGCATGGGGTTGCACATGGTTATTTCAATCTTACCCACCATCGACTAGAACACCTTTCATCTGAGTCCGGTGCATTTTCTTCAGTAAGGACAAAGAGTCAGCTACGAGAATCTTCTTGCAGCCTTCACGAAGCAGAATCTAATGCACACATTATAAAAGAAAAGCCATCTTAAATAGACTCAGGGATGGGGGAGGTGCAGGGGCGCCGTGTGGGGGAGTCAGAAAGCTGGACCAGCCGAGCTACTCCGAAGGGCACACTTTGGCTTTCTTCATACCAGAGTCACCCTCAGCTCTAAGACTCTGATGGCCTTCTGGTTTCACAGGTTTTAAATTCACACCACCAAGGAAGGGAAGTAAGGAGTAGCCAACCGTGGTGCTGCATTCCCAGTGGTCTACGATGACACGTTCCTCCAGAAACCCCAAAGAGCACTGGCTTTGGGTGAATCCAGCCAGAGGCCTTTCCCCATTATTATATGAAGGCAAATATTCAGGAAAACAGAACTAGTGTCCAGATTAAACATCCATACCTGCCATTTCTAGAACAGATAAACAAAAAATTACATGATTTTAGTATTTCTACATGAAAGGAGAAACTGCCCATGAAGCTTTATTCTTTAAAATTCTACTAGAAATGGAATTTTTTGGATTTTAAAGCTATTAACACTTTAATGGATATTATTGAAGAATTCAAGGAGAAAAATAACAAATATACTAAGAAAAATAGCTAAGAAATATTGATGTCAGTAAACTTCCAGCAAACATATAAAGCTGCTCAGCCTCCAACAACAAAATAAAAAATTTAAGAAAAATAGTGTCAATCGCAACATCTCTAAAATGTTTCAAAAAGAAATGGCTCTGACCCTCAGTGGGTGCCCAAGGCCCACTGCATGAATAATACAGGAGGAATGGCAGCGTTGGCAGTCTAGACAGAAGCCACCGTGTCTGAAAGCTGAAAAGGAAAATAGCAAGAAAGGCAAACCAAGAAGGAACCATCTCCTCAGCAGGATTACATTTTTTTGAATAGGTACAATCTGTCTGCCCGCAGAAAGTATTTTCTAGGAAAAATGAAGTATTCAGAGGCAAACAGCCAGGAGAGGGGAAAGTACACAAATACAGCTTATTATGTTACTTTTTCATTTGGTCAAAATCCAAGGTTCCAAATCAGAAAGATGTGAAAACATTTTAAGTTTCATTGGCCAGGCAGGTATATAAGAAAATGAGACTATCACCTGTAGAAAGTAATCATTTATTGTATAACATCTATAATTACTTGAAAGCAATCAAAGGTAAAAGAAGATGGTATAAGATTATAATGAATTACAGTATATTTGACATACTGTATCAGACATACAATAAGACATTATGTTGACTATAGATTCCCAGTAGCAACTACATCAGTGACTCAGAAAAAATTTGCTGTTGTTGGCACACATTTCTCCCCCAAAAGCTTCTATTTGGAATTTCTGATGAATGCTTTTATTATAAAGACATTGATGGCTGAAAGATGCCTCAGCAGCTGGCATAAGGAGGTCATCTTCACCCTTTCACACTCATGATCTCTGACTACTTCTGTCTTTCAAGGTCCTCTTCCCCAAACTATCTCCCCGATCATCTCCTTCCTCCTAGCTCCTTTTTAATTTGCAAATTTGATGTTCTTTGCAATCTTAGGACACATGCACACTTTCTTCTATTATCCTGGTTTTCAGTGATCAGAACTGATCACTACTGCTCTTACCCTGAGCACTATATTTCATTACTTTGTGCTGTTTTCCTTTTTTTGAGATAGCATCTTGCACTGTTGCCCAGGCTAGAGCGCACTGCAACCAACCTTCCTGCCTAGCATGTGGATACGAAAGCTAGTGACACAGCATGTACCTTGTGACCAAGAGGCAACAACCTGATGTACCTTTTCCAGTTGATGGACGTTTAGGCTATTTCTAGTTTGGGGATACAGGTGCAAAGGATATTCTTGTACAGATCTTTTTGTGGACCTGCTTTTCATCTCTTAGATAAATAATTAGAAGTGAAAGTGCTGGGTCACAGAGTAGGTAGTTTTTGAAGTAACTGTCAAACGGTTTTCCAAAGTGGTTAAACCATTGTACACTCCCACATATTAAGTTTTGATATTTGATAAATCTACCCTCTTTCTTACTCTTGGATAATCTTACTTTGCATTTTTTATGTAAGTTTTAGGGCCAGTCTATCAATTTCCAAGAAAATTTTTTGGGAAATTTCAAATAAAATTTTATTGAACATATATAACTTATTCTATATTTCTATATAGAAATATTTCTATATTCTATATTCATTATGTTAGAGACAACTGATAACATTTATGATATCGATATAATTTTAACAACTAAATGGTAGATTCCATTTGCTAATGATTTATGGATTATTTTTACATTTGTGTTAAAATAAAGATAGGGCTATAATTTTGTCATATTGACCTCATGTAATGCTGGTGTTAAGATTATACTAGCATCCCATGAAGAACTGAGGAACATTTTTATTCTATTCCCTGGAAGTTGCCTGTTTTTTACATGTTTGATAAAACTTGTCTCTAAAACTGTCTATGGAATAGTTTTTTTCTTGTGGCTCTATGTTTTGACTAACTGATTTAATTTTTTTTAATGACTATATAGGTCTATTCTATTTACTTTTGAGTAAATTTTGATAATTTATATTTTCTTAGAAAATCATTCATTTCTTCTGAGTCTTCAAAGATACTGACATGAACTTATATTCTTTACTTACTCTGGGTGTTGAAAACTTGTATTTGTCTGCAAGGGTTTTCTACTTTATGGTTATGCTGTTGTTCCCCCATACATTTTTCTCAGACTTCGAGGAATTTGAAAATATATTCCGTGATGTTTCCTGAATGCTTCTAGACCACAGAAGCTTATAAGCATGCAGTTTTAAGGATATGTTCCTCTGCCCACCAAAAGTAGTTCTTTTTTTTCCAAAGTATGCCTACTGGTCTTTCAAAGATCAAGTCATTTTTTATCCACATGTCTTACTTGCCTATTTCCTGCTTTACCCTGGTTTCCAATTCTGTGTTGGATAGTCTGTGGTATCATTTTCAGAAATTAAAGCCAATTTGAATCATCTTGTTACCTGCGAAATAGCTCCACAGGTACATAAGACAGCACCATTATGAATCTTTGCGTTGTAGTCTATTAATCTCTCTCTTATTAGAATGTCACTGAGGATCAACCACTGTCTTTTCTTTCCTCAACTACATGTCTCAAAAAATATTTGTAGGCATTGCTTAGAAAGTATAACATTACCTTTCAGAGATTCATTTTCCTTTTGGGGCCTTTCTTTATTTTTCCAAGATTATTAAAATCTATGGGCCAACTTCTTCCTACATCCTCAACCACTCTTGTTTTTTTAATATTCCTTTACTTCCCTCCATAGTTCTAAGTTTTTTTAAATTCCATATTTTATTTACACTACCTTTATTCTTTCCCCTTTACCACTTTTAAGACAACCAGCTATAGCTTCTAGAATCAATCTGTTACATGTTATATTTTGTGCTACTATAAATTTGAATAGGAATGAATTTACAAGATAGCTGTGGAAAAACCAACATGAAACCTTAGGATTGCCCTATCTTCTCCTCCTTATTTTTCTGCACTTTATCATCATTAATAATAATCTAACCAAAAGCAAAACACCAGACTCACAGACATTTTATAAAGCAATAAAAGAACTGTATATCAGCAAAGTTATTATGGTTCATTAGAAACAGCTGCCATGGGAAAAAATGCCATCAAAAATTGCCGAGTTTCGGAAATTTTTATTTTAAAAGATTCTTTGAACACTGAACTTTTTGCTGACATTGCCTCGTTCAAACTGCAATGATTCTCATTAGAATTGCAAATGACAGCTACCTGGTTTTGTAAGTACCCAATATGGCACAAGCTAGACTGAGAAACTCCCCTCATTTTCAATTCATCCTTTAGGCCACAATGCTGTGGGACTTGAATTCTACTTGAAAAAGCTTTGCTTGTGGTCAGGATTATTATCAAATATGACAAATCGCAGAGAAATAAGGAGGGAAAGAAAAAGACTCTAAGTTCTCATGTTGGAGTTCAGAAACAAACTTATAAACACAACTGTATTTAAACTTACAACAGCACAAATTATACATGTTCCAAACTGATTTAGAAAGCTACAGGGTTGTCACAGGCCATTCATGTCCCCTAAAAGTTATGATGGGGCCAAACTGAAGTAATTTGAAAAGAAAATTCACTTGGTCTTAAAAGTTTATTTGGGGGATTTATGAATTAAAAAACTCTCTCTTAAAAGAAAATGAAGAGCTTATACACCATGAGTCAAAAAAAAAAAACCAAAAAAACAAAAAACCCCATGCGGGCCCAAAGAAGGGTTAGTAAGAGAGAAGTCATTATTTCCTCTTCACTCATTACGGATTTAAAAGTAGAGAGATACGGGGAAATAATAAGGAAAAAGGGACAGCAGCAAATCTAAGTCTGGGAAAGAAACTTTGGCAGCATAGAGACAGATGTCTGGAGTCAGGTTACCAGTTTAGATGGTGTGTGTGTGTCCCTGTGTGTCTGTGTGTCCGTGTCCACGTGTGTGTGTGTGTAGTTTAACAAAATGGAAGTGTTAAAACTTTTCACGTCTCTCAGAAACATGAATCCAGATCATGAGCAGCTTGAAGAAGGCCGGCATCTTGCTCACCTCCAGGTCTGAGACCACATGTGGAGGCCCTGTTAGTACCTAACATGCCATCTGACACTCGAGGCGCTCATGTATTTAAATAAATGTGTTTATAATTATCAAACACATGACATTTTAGAAACTATTCCTTGAGAAATCAACAGCTTCCATGATACCTCCATTAAGAAGATGCTGTCAGTGCTGTTAAGCTCACCTGAGGTCTGCCCTGCTGCCGAGACCAGCCAGGAACAGATGCAGTGGGCAAAGGGGAAGGGAACCAAAGGACAGACATCTTGTCATTTTGTTTTTCCTTAAGTAAATGTCATTTTTAGAGGTGAAAGTAGAAACTGTGGAAAATAAACAACCCCCCATTATACCTAAAGATCTAAGCTATGTTATTACAGATTCCAAAATAAGTTATTATGATTTACCTTATTTTTTTTTTTTTTAAG